GTCACGTGGAAGTATCCACGGCCCCTCCGTCACGTGGAAGTATCCACGGCCCCTCCGTCACGTGGAAATATCCACGGCCCCTCCGTCACGTGGAAATACCCACGGCGCCTCCGTCACGTGGAAATACCCACGGCCCCTCTGTCATGTGGAAATATCCACGGCCCCTCTGTCTGTGGAAGTATCCACAGCCCCTCTGTCTGTGGAAGTATCCACGGCCCCTCCGTCATGTGGAAATATCCACGGCGCCTCCGTCATGTGGAAATATCCACGGCCCCTCTGTCATGTGGAAATATCCACGGCCCCTCCGTCACGTGGAAATATCCACGGCCCCTCTGTCACGTGGAAATACCCACGGCCCCTCTGTCTGTGGAAGTATCCACGGCCACACCTATCTGTGCGTGTGGTTTACTCCCACACACCAGCCCATGCTGGCTCAGCTCCCACATCTGCCTGCGCACCCACTCAACAATTATAGCTTGTTATTACTGTTATTGCAGGACTTTGTACCAAGGATTAATTTTGGTTCAAGGTTTAAGGAGTATCTCAGGGCCATAGTCTGTTCCACATGTTTCTGTCAGGGACCGCTGTGGGTAGTGGTCGTCAACATCATCTAGTTCTTCTACCCCTGCCGGTGCTGAGATGCTTCTACCACCAAAGACTTTCTACCCACTGGCTTGTGATCTTCTACATTCTGCATCCTTGCATGTGTTCCGTGAGTCTGAAGAGGACTTTAGAGATTGCTGACAGACATATGGGCTAATATCGGACTTATGACCTTGGACTGGACTGGGTTGGGATGTTTTCTCAATGTTCATATGCGTCTTTATGAATTTGTTTCTCTAGTCTACCCAGACTAACACAAAAAGGATGAAGTTGGACCCTTGGCTGACACCAGACACCAAAAATGAACTCACAATGGATCAAAGGCCTGCATTTCAGAGCTAAAACTGTAGAGCGCTTAGATGAAAACACAGGGCGTGAATCTTCATTTGGCAACGGACTCTAAGGTACGACGACGACGACAAAAGTACCAGCAACCACTGCAAGAGAGACATGGGGCATCATCAAAGCGATCAACTCGGGGGCCAAAGAAGCCTTTTCTGACCGCCCAAAGACACGTGGGAGGAAAATCGTTTCAAATGACCTTTCCATTCAGGGTCAAGGGCGCAAAAGACTGCAAGAATTAGTCAACTCACCCGCAAAAATGTCCAACCAGCCCCATGAAGACACAGGCAAGTGACTTGGAAGAAAGAAGATACACCCATGGCCAAAAGGCAAGGGAGAAGTTGCTCAACATCCTTAGCTACCAGGGAGATGTTAGTCAAAACCACACAAGAAACCACTTCACACCCACCAGGATGGCCAGACTTTCAAAATGCAGAAAACGAACAAGTGCTGGCAAGGATGTGGGAAAAACCAAGCCCTCACAGATCACCAGGGTGCAGCTGCGGGGGTGGGGGTAGGAGGTTGACCATTCGCCAAAGTTTTAACCTTGACTTACCATCTGACCCAACAATTGCATTCCAAGGTATGTGCCCCTCCAAATGGAAAATGAGGATTCAGACCCCCCCAAAAATTGTGCACAAATGCTCACAGCAGTACCCCCACCCACACACCCACACACTAGCTAGAATGTGGGTGCAATGGAAAGGTCCCTCAGCCGATGAATGGATAAGCACAAGGCGGTGTGCCCATACAATTGAATATTACCCGACCATCAAAAGGAAGGAATAACATGCCGGCGCATGAACCAAATCTTGAAAACGTGTTGCCGAGCGAAAGAAGAAAGCCACTGAGTGTCTGGTTGCATTGATAGAAAACGAGCCCCCGATTAAATGAAATTAAATCAAAGTTTAAAAAACGAAAAGAAATCTATGAAAAATCCTATCATCAATAGGATTCTAATAATTTTACTAACCAGTCCATTCTAAACTGTCATCTATTGTCTTATCACAGACATATGCCGTCGGGTCATTTTGTGTGTTATTTTCAGAATCCTTGTCAGAGAAAGCAGGACATTGGAAAGTGTGATTCAAAGTACTTCAGAACGCCTTCGGTTCAAATCCTGAGACTAGATGTTCGATCTTTGCTTTAAATCTCCGTTTTCTAATCCTTAAAAATAGAGACGCATACCTTCACCTTGCCGGATTCTGAGGAAATTTAATATGTCAATGTTTGCAAGTTGTTAGGTCAGCACTTAACCTGGTTGTAAAAGAGGCTACAGGGTGTTTCTTGGTGGATTTAACGATGTGATTTTTTTCAATGTTACATTTAAAAATTCAATGAAGATCCATTTGACCACAAAAAGAAAAAGAAAGAAAGAAAATGACCAGAATAGACCCATGAACAGGGCCAGACATAGACTCGCCGTTGCCTGGAGATGTAGGGCCAGCGGGAGGAGCGGGGAGGAAGGAAGAGTGACTGCTTAGTGGGGTTTAGTTTCTGAAACCAGATCTTGGCGATGGGTGCACCGCCTCGTGAATCTCCAAAAAGCCCCTGAAGCACACCTTCAAATCCTCGAAGGGCGAAGTCTGTCGTGTGTGAATGCGCCTTCCGTGCAAAAGGAGACAGACACCACTCCTCCCCGATGCAATGTGCAAGTATCAATGTTGGATGACACACTAGGCTTTTCAAGGGGGGAGGGAGGTCATTTTCATGAATATCCGGTGTGGACGGAGTAGCTACGAAAATCATCTTTTTGTGCACGCCAAGTTTGAAAACAATCTAAAGGTTGATGAAGAAAAGATTTTTTAAAGGGAAGAAACGATTTTATGTCACGTCAATGTTTATTGCCGTACGTCCTTGGAATGGTGAAAGGCAAGTACTAGAGGTCCTGAAGAAGTTTTCTGTGTATTTATCTGGCCAAAGCACCCAGTCCAATGAAGAAGAGGCGGGAAAGGGAGGGTGGGGGGGAGAAGAAGGCGTGGGGTGTAGCAGAGGTCAGCAAGCTTCTTTCTGTTGGTGGCTAGACTGCAACTATTTTAGGTTTTGCTAACCAGACCATCTGTCACAGCGACTCAGTCCTGCACGGCGGCTCTAAAACAGCCACAGACAATGAGTAATGAACGGGTGGGGTCATGCCCGATAAAACTGTCTTCATAAAAGCAACCAGCTGTCCAGGGGCGTCAGTGTGTCCACAGGTGTATGGAAGAGAAGGCGGGGGAGACTTTGGGTCCTCATCCCCTTTTATATCTTTTACCTTGAGAAGCCTGTATATCTATTCCCACGGAGCCCTGGTAGCCCTGTGGGTTAGGGCTTGGACTGCTGAACTGCAAGGTGGGAGGTTCAAACCCACCAGCCACTCAGAGGGAGAAAGATGAGGCTGCTTGCTCCCTGAAAGCTTTCCAGTCTCAGAGGTCCACAGGGTCCCTAAGAGTTGGAATCCACTCAATGACCGTGGGTTTGGGGAGTTTATTCCCAATTCAAAACATTAAATCAAGAAAATTGTCACTTTTTCCAGGTAGTTCAGCCCTGGAGCGAAGGGTAGGAAACAGAGAACATCATGGGAGGGTCTTCTCTTACCGGGACCCCTCAAACTGGACCACACTCTGTCCGAAGCCCCTTGCGTTCTCTCGGAAGGTCATGATGTTTTCGGTGTCCAGGTTGAAGCCGTGACATAAGGCCAGAGCTGGAAGGGCAAAAGGGGGGAAGAGTTAGGTGGTGAAAAGACGTCGGCTCTCATGCTTGGTGCATTTTCAGGCCAGGACTCCCCCAACCGGACAGCCTCCTGCCTGCCTCCCAGCCAGATCAAGCTCCGACAGCTTGGGGCTGAGGTCAACACCCTCTCCTGTAAAGGGTCAATTGGTAGACTTTTTCATCGTTGTGGTCCAAAAGGCAACCTAGAATCTACAGTAGAACCCTGGAACTCTGGACCGCGTCAGACCTCAACAGCATCACGGGATGTGGACGCAAAAGCATCGGATCCGACCCACCCAGCGCGCGTGATTGTTGTACACAAAGCAGTTTGTGTTTTGTTCACTCGGCGTTAATTGGCATTGCTGGTACGCGTATTTAGAACTTTTGCAGCTGTGTTCCAAGCGTTTTGCTATAATTTTCTTGGTTTTTATGGCTTTTTGTACTGTTTTTAGATAAAAAACATGGGTCCTAAGAGTTTTTTGAAAAGAATCATCATGATAAGGAACTGGTTAACTGTGTTGTTGATATTGTTGATGATAATTTAGTAAACCTTTTAGAAAACAGTTAGGGAAACGCCAACAGCAGACCGCATTAGACAGGATTTTTGGTTTTTTTAAGAGAAAGTCAGCCAGGACTTAGTGAAAAAAGGCAAAGAAGGGAAAAACATCTCCTGAAAAGCAGCTCCCAGTTGATTTGATGGAAGAGGATCCCCTTCAAACAATGACCCTCTCTCCATCCCTCCTCCCCACATCCGTGTCCACAGATCCAGATCCTCATCCGTCTCGAGGTATGGGCCACACTGGAGTTGTTTAAAGCATTTTTAATGTTGTGTTTCTTCTTTAAATTACATTATTTACCTCTGAACCTATTTACTTTTAAATTTCTGTGTAATATTTTGGATAAAAAGGCAAGGTTAGGGTAAAACCTTGGTGGTCGAGAACAGAGGGATTCATTTCACTTAGTGCTTATGGAAAAATTGATTCGGAACCTGACTGCATCGCATCTCGACGGTCCTTCTACAACAGATTAGCGTCAAGGTCTGGGGTTCTACTGTATTACACAGATACATATATAACAAGAGATGAAGTATGTTTCCCCAAATGTTTATTGAAGGAATTCTAGCAATAATAATTGAGCATAACATTTTTGTAATAAAGGTCTTACTAATGAGACAAATGTTATTCTTTGAGGGAGATAAAATTTCATTCAGTTGAGGTGCAAAGTGAGTGCTCCTCTCATCAAATCAATTATCTGTAAAAGTCATTCTTTTTTTCAATGTATGAATCATTTTATTGGGAGCCCGTACAGCTCTTGTAAAAATCCACACATTGATTGCGTCAAGCACATTTGTACATATGTTGTCATCATCATTTTCAAAACATTTTCTTTCTTCATAAGCCCTTGGTATCAGCTCCTCCTTTCTTCCCTTACCTCCCCCGCCCTCCCACCCTCATGACCCCTTGATAAATTATAAATTATTATTATGTTCAGATCTTACACCATCCGCGGTCTTCCTTCACCCACGTTTCTGCTGTTTGTTCCCCAGGGGTGGGGGGTTATATGTCCATCATTGCAACCGGTTCCCCCTTTCTCTCTTTTTTCCCCCTTGCCGCCCCCCACCTCTCCCTGTAAGAGCCATTCTTAGCTCACAGGTGGTACAAAGCATATTGTGGGTCACTTATGACCTACAGCTAGTAGTTTGGGGACCACCGGCCTGAGGTCTACTCAGACCACCGTCATGGGGTGCATGCAGCCCCTTTCCAAGCTCACAGACATGGTTTTCCTCTAAAGCAGTGGTTCTCAACCTATGGGTCGCGACCCCTTGGAGGGTGGAGCGACCCTTTCACGGGGTCGCCCGATTCATCACAGTAGCTCAATGACAGTGATGAAGTAACAATGAAAATAATGTTAGGGCTGGGGGTCACCACCACATGAGGAACTGTCTGAAAGGGTCGCGGCATTCGGAAGGTTGAGAACCACTGAAATTGTTTCCATTCTGTCGATTTGCCCAATAGTCAAGTTCCTGTCGCCCCTCCATTACATAAATCCCTGCCTACGCAATTCTCAAGAACTGTCTTTCCTGCCTGGTCCGTTCCCCACGGAACACAGCCAGCCACGGAAGCAAACATGGAAGCATGGGGATCAGTCATTTGCTCCTCCGGATTCTTAGAAACCGGAACTGGGGGTCAAGGTGGATGAGTCAGGCGATGCCCAAGCCCCCTGGGAAAGGAATGCCACGGGGGCCCTGCACCCTTGGGCCAGTCATGTCACCGCTCTGGACTTCCGTTCTCTTACTTACAAAGGGAAGGTACCTGTGGAGCCCCCTGGATAAGTCTGTGCACTTAACCATTTGCCCAAGTCCCTTTGCCCATCGCACCTTAGTCCAGCTCTGTCCTCGGCTCCACCTCTCATGCTTTCTCTTACCCCATGCCCCCGTTCCCTCGTCTCAGTCCAACTTCTTAGCTTTTCTCTGCCCCCCATCTCCACCGTCAGAGTCGGAAGTCCCCTCTCCCAAAGCTGCGGTGCTCCCCTAAGGCCCCCCGGGTACCTGTCAACAGAAGGACTCCGCTTGCCATGGCCGAAAGGCGGGGAACCAACTTCTGACACCGCGGAGGTCGCTCGGGGAAGCCACCAAAGCCAGTCAGAGCAGAAAGAGAGAAGTGGGAGGCACACGTCTGACTGAATGCTCAAAGGAAGAGGGCGGAGGCTCCGTTAGCACACAGCTCGGCTTGACCTTCCCTCTCAGATGGCCTAGACCTAGTGGCCTTCCCTGCTACCTTCTGGGCCCACCCACCTCTGTCTTTTAAAAGGTGTCATTTGCTGCCCACTAGTTTCTGGGATTAATCAACCCAGCCTGAAAAACAAGTTGAATAGACTCAGGGTCTGCTTCCTGGAACACATCTCTGTGCGTCCCAGGCACCTAACCTGCGAGATGTTCTCCTGGAGCCCACAGAAACAAGAGTTGTCCCTGGCCTTTCTTCTCTCTTTCTTTCTAGCCTTCTGGGGTGCACTGGGCACATGTCCGTTTTCCATGAAACAATACACACGTGTTGTGTTTCATATCATTGATTGCAATCCCCATGATGGCACACCGCTGTTCGCACTCCTTCTTCTTATCCCTTCCTGCAGTTCTAAGGAGCGCTCACCTTCCCATCGCCGTCGCTCAACACAGAGACTCGGCTATTGTTGGCGAAACCATTAGTTCAGTTCCAGGTCTAAAGGACATCGAAGAGCCAGAGTCTCGGTCTCCCTCTGACCAGTGAACCTGGTCTTTTGTTCTGGCTTCGTGTGTTGTTCCACACTGTCTCCCATGGTACCCAGCACCTTCTACTGCGGTCCCTTTCAGAGGAGTTGGCAGCGGTAGCTGGGCACCCTCTAGTTCTGCTGGTCTCCCGGTCGAGTGATCCATTGGTCCTTTGAGCAGGTTCTTCCCATCCATCTTTGCTCTCTTCAGGGCTTGTTTGTTTGTTTGTTTGTTTGTTTCCTGGTCTCAGACAGGGAGAGAAGCACACCTGTGCCCTAGACAGTTGCTCACAAAGTTATAAGACCCCGGTCACTACTCACCAAAGCAGGACACTGAGCGTGTCCTGGGTGGACAATGGTGTCCAGTTGACCTGGATGAAATCACCGTCTTGAGTGTCAGGCCCAGAGACATGCCTTCAAGGTGTGTGGCCCTCACTGAACACCTACCTGCCTTTGCCCCAGTCTGCTCTCCTGTATTAGCAGACATGCGTGCAGCTCATATACAAGGAGGAATCCAGAAAGGGGGGTGGGGGTGGGGATTCTGTTATCTCCTTTCCATTTTCCCCACGAACTTTGTGAAGCCCCTTATACACATGTAAACATATACTCTGTCCAGACTATCTATATGACTCCGTAGAGTCCCAATCTCCTTCACACACCTGTTCATTTTTTATCTCTATGCACCCGCTCATGATACTTACTGCGGTTACTGCAGGCTTGTGTCTATGGTAGGAGTTGCCTCTGTTGCCTTTAGCTCTTAGACCCCTCCCCGTGGCCTGATCATTTTTGCTGGCATCCAGCTTACTGTGTATTGCCCTCTCCTTCCCCCAAGTCGATATGTGTCTACTCTCTAGCTAGTGATTTATCCTCCCACCCCCTTCTATACCTGGTAACTATTAAAAGAATATTTGTTCGTGTGAAAACCATTCCTTGGCTTTTCGTTATCGTGGTCTTACATACCACTCATCTTTCCGTGACTAATCAGTCTACTCAGTTAATGTCCTCCGGGCTCACCCACGTTCCTTATCTGCTATTTGCATATTCATTGTTGTTCTTTAACGTTGGCTAGTATCTCATTGTGTGTCTGTACCACAAATCGTTGATCCATTTTTCCATCAGTGGGCATTTAGGTGGTTTTCATATTTGTTTTGCTATTGTACATAGTGTGGTGATGACCATAGTGTGCACATATCTATTGTGTCCCAGCTCTTGATTCAAAAAGATGCATCACCAATAGTGGGGTTCTGGGATCACATGGTCCTCTGGGTCTAATTTCATAAGAAGAGGTTGTGCCAGTGTAGTCTCACCAGCCGTGCCCGACCGTTGCAGCCCCTCCACACCTGTACCTGCAGTATTTGTTATTGCCTGTTTTCTTTTTCTGAACCTTGCAGGGTGAGATGGCCCCTCACGAGTTTGTAAGACCCCAGTCACTACTCACCCAAGTAGGGTGTAGAACATGTGTCTGTGAGGCTCATTGACCACGGTGGCACCCAAGACCATGATCCTGAGCCCCAAAACCCTGTGACTCATTCTCTCAAGGCATTCAGTTATCTCTGAGAAGTTTCAATGATTTTAACCCCTGTATACTCCATCGCATTCAAAACTATATTTGCAGAAAAAGTGAATCACATATTTTGGGAATACTCCCATTTCCCCCTCACACGGGTCAGCCTGTGTGCCTAGCCATGCAATGCCTCCTCGATCATTTATGTAATAGTATTTATGTCTATTGCCCTTCTCTTTTTAAAAAATCATTTTACTGGGGGCTCTTATAGCTCTTATCACAATCCATCCATCCATCCATTGTGTCAAGCACATTTGTACATTTGTTGCCATCATCCTTTTCAAAACCTTGTCTTTCCACTCGAGCCCTTGGTATCAGCTCTTCATTTTTTCCCTCCCTCCCTCCCCCAGCCCTTAACTCTTACATTCCTCCCAATAGCTTCCCCTACCACATTTTTTTTTTGGTCAACCATCGTCTTATTGCTTGTTGCCATCTCATTCACCCAAGTTAACACTTGTCTATCCTCTAGACAGTGGCAACTTACCCTCCCTCCTCCCCTCACCCTTGGTAACCATCGTGTGTGTGTGTGTGTGTGTGTGTGTGTGTGTGTGTGTGTGTGTGTGAAAACCTTTTCTTGATTTTTCACATGCATTATTTGTCCTTTGTGTGATGGATTCGTTCACTCAACACCATGTCCTCCGAGTCAGTGCATGGTATGAGGCATTTCGCAGACGCATCAGTGTTCTTTCATGCTGCATGGTATGACACTGCACATGCGTACCATGGTCTGTCGATCCGTGCTTCCACTGGTGGACATTGAGGTTGATCCATCACCGTCTTGCTCCTGTGGATAGTGCCATGACGGACATGCGTGTGCATACATCGGTTCATGTCACGCTCTTCTTTACAGTACATACCAAGTAGAGGGATTGCTGGGTCACACATATATATGAATATTATATATATAATGATCCATATATATACATGGTGACCATGTTGCTGCAACACTTTATTTCTACATTTTTTAATCATTTTATCGGGGGCTCTTACAATTCTTATCACAATCCATCCACCCATCCATTGTGTCAAGCACATTTATGCATATGTTGCCATCATCGTTTTTGAAACATTTTCTTTCTACTTGAAGCTGGAAGCGCCCCTGATTGTCCACTGTCCCAATGGTCTCCGTTCCCCTGAGTGGTGTTCATTTGCTCCCAAGCTGAGCCCGAACCCAAGTTCTAACCTTGTATTTCCCCCAGTCAGCCACACTGCGTGTGGTCTCTGGTGTCTTTGTGGCCATTATCAAAGCCAACAGAGAAGTAGAGAGGTCTGTGGGTGGGGAGGACAGCTGGTGTCTGCGATGATGAAAAAGACAGACGGACAGACAGAGAGCCGAGCTGTCCCTAACCTCCACCTCAGAGGAATCGGCTTTATGCCGCTCTTGATTCCCATCTGTCCTCCTGAACTTAGATGAGTTAGGATGCCAGGAGCTCATACAGACCAAGCCAAAAATGGGCAAAGCACGCGAGCGGAGACTGCACCAGAGAGGTCACCTGAAATGCCACTAGCCATGTAACCGCTCAACCCAGGCCATCGAGCAAGTCCATACCAACTGAGTTAGTTCGTTGTGCCAACCTGGCCGATAATCACATGTGGGGCTAATTGAAAGGCGGAGGGATAAATGGTTGGTGAGCCTCGCCTTTCTAGTTCTCGGGTCTCTTGCTTTGTGGTGGTCGCACCAGGGTGCAGCTGTCTTAGCAGCTCCCTGCTTCAGCTTGCAAGATTGACTTCCTACAAGACATCCCCAAGGAGAAGCCACATGGACCTATCCCGATGCAGCCCTGGGTGCTGGAGCAGCCGTGTGGAGACCCCTGCCAGTGCTGAGATGCTTATTCGTTCACTGACTCAGCTTTCCTCCTGCAGTCGGCATCATCGCCTCTGTTTTGTGAGGTGGAGGACTTTGTGGACTGGTGCTGGGTTCATGGGTTAATGTTGGACGTGTGGGCTTGGGCAGCATTGAGTTGGGATGTTTTCATGATGCGCATTTTCTTTACATAAAACTCTCTTCTACATGAGTTGCTGTGCATTTGTTTCTCTAAAGTACCTAGACTAATACACCAACTCTTAGCAGCTGCACAAGGCAGAATGGAACCTCCCCACGGGTTTCCAGAGCTGTCTATACTTACAGAAGCAGACCATTGGCCATTAGCAAGCGGTAAGGCCAAGTCACAAAACCACCTCATCCCCGTGAGAATAGCAATGATTCCCCCCCCCCCCAATTTTTTTTCCCAGCACAGCAAGTATCGGTGAGGAAATTGGACCCCTCCTCCATTGCGGGTGTGAATGCAAACTAGCCAAGCTGCTGAGGAGTATATTTGGCAGTTCCTCAAAAAGTGGGCGGGACGACCGTCTGACTGCTGCTAGAAGAAGTGAAAGAAGGGTCAAAGTCAGAAACGTGTACAGCCACGTTCATTCAAAATACCCAAAAAGTGAAACCGCCGAAATGTTCGTCCACAGCTGGAGAGATACACGAGACGCAGTAAGGAAGTCCCCAGATTACCAATGAGTTTTGTTCCCCAGTCGAATCTGTACTTCAGTCACCACGGTTAGGCACAGTTCATCTCCGGGGTTCTTTCGGGGCACTGTGGAGTTGGTTCTGACTCAGATCGACCCGATGCACATGGAAACCAAACACGGCCGGCCCCAGCTCCCTCCTCCCAGTCCGTCCGTCCCGTGTCTGAGCCCTCCGCTGCAGTCACTGGGTCAGCTCGGCCTCTGGAGGGGCCTTCTCTTCGCGCTGACCGTCTGCTTCAGAAAGCATGATGAGCTCCTTTCCA